GCTGGCAGGTTGTTCCAAGAGTTCACAACTCTCACTACGAAAAAGTTCGCCCTCACAGTTTTCTGGACTTGCGGCTTCTTCAACCTTGAGCTATGACCCCTTGTGGGACGGGTGTCCGCCAGTTCCAGGTATGGACACTCGACTGAGTAGTGCCCTTTGAGATGCTTATACACCTCAATTAGATCCCTCCCCCTTGTCTTATATAAGAAGGCCGTTTAGATGTCTGGATAGTCCGTCACTCGTCACGATCTTCAAGAGTGAGCTGCTTCCCCGTCTGGAGTATTATCACCCTGTCCAAAGGAGGGCCACCAGACTTGTGCCTGCTATACGGAACCTTAGTTACCCAGAGAGATTGGAGCGCCTTCTGAACACACCGAGGAAAAGAAACTGTCCAACGCCTCCGCTTTGTCTTGGTCAGAATCTGCATACCATTTTCAAGCCTCAGGTTCGATACTCCTACTCGCGTTTTTAATTTCGACTTTGCGTAGCGGTAAAACGCCTTTGGGTTTGACTTGACCTCGCTTGCAATCAGCCTCTGAAACTTCTTATCAGCCCTTCTACACTCTGACTTTGCTTGGTTTCTGGATCTGGCATACATCCTCCTGTCCTGCTCATCGTTTGTCCTAACCCACGTCTTGAATTTCTGGGTTTTCTTCTTAACTTTGTCGACCGCCGCATGGTTCATGTGTAGCGGTCTCCTTGTATTCCTGGAGGCGCTGGGTTTGGTCTTTGGTATATACTTGTATTTCTCAATCAAATGGTTCACTTTACAAGCTATGATATTCAGTGTAGTGTCTGCGTTCTTATACCTCAGTGAGTCAGGCCAGTGGATACCCTCATCGCCTCCCTCATCCCGTCGTAATTTCCATTGTAATATGTGAGCTTTGGCCTGGTTTTCTCGTGAACTAAGTAACAGTTAACTCTGAAGGATAACGTTACATGGTGGCTGGTGCCAACGGGGGCTAGAGGTTCCAGCTTGGTCACCATACCCTCCATGTTTGTTATGATGAGGTCCAGTGGCTTGGGTGTGGGTCTTTAACATGCTGGAGCAGAAAATTATCTCTCAGAGTTTATACAAAAAGAGTAATGGGGTTAGTTAAGTCATTTGGCGTGGTCTCATTTCTCCAGTCGATGTCGCCATAGTTAAAGTCCCCATGATAAGGAGGTGGCTAGGGTTGAGGATTGTTGTGTTGTCTATTGAGGCTCTAAAGTTCCTTTGATTTAATAAGCTACAGTTTGGGGATCTGTAGATACACCCTACAATAAGTAAGTCCCCCTCCCTTTAATTTTATTTTACACCACTTTGATTCTTCAAAAAATCCTCTCCCTGTACCCTCACCTGGCTGGCTCTACGGTCTTGCCTAGCATAGATAACCACACCCCTCTTGCAATTTTCTTGAGAGAGGTTCGTAAATGAGTTATATCCATCAATACTGAACTCACATTCCTCCGGGTCGATTCTCCTGTTCTTGTACAACAGTTCTACAACGCCTACTATATCGGGTTGGTGTACCTTCAGTAGTGTTTCAAACTCCTCTGTCTTATCAAGGAAGGTGTCAGTATTAGTGTACAGTATATGACTTTCAAGCCGGAATTTGTTCGCGGTGACGTATCTGCTCTTGGTAATGACTCCGGTGCCTCTCCATCCCCAGCAGCTGCAGGATTTGCTAAATACACTGTATTTTGCAGGGTGTGGTCAGAAATGTCATTGTTTACATGACGCTCGCCTTCTCCTGGGTGGGAGATAGAGCGGGTGGAGCATGGAGGTATAAGTTATACCTCCATGGGGTGGTGGGTGTCCCTCAGTCCCCTGGCTCTGTGCTGGCGCTCTTGCTTCTACTACTCTCCCGCTGGATATAATCCATGTAAACCCGTCCCCATTCCTACTCGACTCCTCCCTCCTCTGCTCCAAGCTCTGTAGGAGCTTCTTGTGCTGTTCCCTCTGCATTACCGTGCGATCTGGATGAATGAATGAATACATTCCGAAATGCCCCGTTCCTTGCACAGTGTTTTGCCTGCCGAATAACCTCCCGTTTCTTCTCCTCACTCACGAGTGTGACCCTGGGGGGATGAGGCTTGTCCTCCTGCTTTTGTCCTAGCCTTCTCACATCCTGAGTGGGGATGGCATATTCAGAACCTCTGTACAAATATTCTCAAATTACAACTTATCGTGTGTTTTCCTATTCTCAGCTTCCCCTAACTGGCTCTCAGGGACTTCAAAAACTCTTACGTTGTCCTGAGCTCGAAACTTCCTGTTGTTCCCCCTCTCCCCTAACAGTACGTCTGCTAGTTGCCACCTCTTCCACACTTTTTCAGAGTCTCTAGCTGATTTACTTTTACTTTTTTACTTTTATCCTCTTCGCCACTGATCGGCTCGTTAGCCGCTTGGGCGGTCGCTCACGTCTCACGTACTGTTGACAGATACTGGGCATGCACTGGCTCCTGAATATATAGGAACCTGCACCAGTGTTGGTCAAGTCTGGACTTGAATGAGGTCACACTCAGTGCCGTCACAACGCTCTCCGGCTGATTGTTCCAAGAGTTCACAATTCTCAATCCGAAAAAAAATTGCCCTCACAGTTTTTTGGACATGTGGCTTCTTCAACCTTTAGCTGTGACCCTTTGTGGGGTGGACGTCAACCAGCTCCAGGTATGTACATTCGACCGAGTAGTGCCCCCTGAGATGTTTATACACTTCGATTAGGTCGCCCCTCGCCAATCTGTATTATAAGATCGGTAGTTGCAGGCACTCCTATCTCTGGGTAACTGAGTTTCCGCAGAGCAGGCACCACCCTGGTGGCCCTCCTTTGGACATTTTCAGTCAATTGACAATCTCTAGCATACCTCGGGGACCAGACGGGAAAGCACCTCACTCAATGAGATCGTGACGAGTGACGGACCATCCAGATATCTAAACGACCTTCTTATAAGACCTACTAGTTTCGTTGCCCGATTCTGTAGAACCAGTTTGTATCCTGCATTATGCCTACACCCTCTGTTATAACTCTTCTTCACTACTCCCTTCATTCTATTATCTACTTCTTTATTCATAGTGAGGATCTTTTTCCCAACTTGCTCTAGTTTGGCAACCAGCAAGGATCCAGTTTCATCTATTTCCGTCCCTAGGAATCTCATTCCCCTATGGGTTGCAATCGCCGCGTTTACTTTGATTTTGCGGTCAGGGCAATACCAGCAACAGCCTTCATGCTTAACCGCATTATGTATCGCCCTGAACGCTGTATAGCCCAGACCCGCACAATTTACATCTGACGTCGCCTTGCAGTAATTGCATGTCAACAGACTCTTGGGTGATGCTGGGGTTTTAGCCCCTTATTCCCGATGCCTCATGGCTGTCACGGTTGGGGAGGGGGGGTTGGGTGCAGACTGTACGAATCTTCTCAGCCTTAAGCCCAGTTTACAATGTGATATAATTCTAATAGTCGGCTTAATAATAATACAAGTAATAATATTAATCTTTATTATTACTGTGATAATGGTTTTGACCAAAAATAATGTTCCAAGGAAAGAAACAGGCATCATTGATGCTTCGTTCCAATGTGTAAGATTATGGACAGAACCACAACAGGAAAAATATTCGTCACAGTGCCAAGTGAAACGAAGATAGGAGAACTGGTAGGCACTGGTAGCTTTGTTGCTGCTGCTGCTGTGTTTCCCATGTCGGAGCACATCTTCTACTGTTGTGAAGATCATTTTAATGTGAGCGTCAAATTAATAGGCTATATACTGTCATGTCTTTAATGTAGGTATAAATAGGTAGTTGGTAGACCCTGCTGCCATATGACACCACAAAAATTGTGACCAAGTTCCAGGTTGTTGATCTGACTTTCTGCCTCATTTACACACAATTGCAGGATCAATTATTGTTTCTCTTACTTTGACAACACAACATACATAATGTATATCGTTTCTCACTCTTTATTTATTTTTTCGTTTTTATATTTATTTATGGTTATTATTATTTTGTATTAATTATAATTATAATAATAATAATAATAATAATAATAATAATAATAATAATAATAATAATAATAATAATAATAATAATTATTATTATTATTATTTATTTATTTATTTATTTATTGTCCCACACAGGGGCTAGTTTATTGGGCACCCCCTTACATCCTATGCAAGGTGAAGCGCAAAAGTGTTTACAGCGCTCATCTGGGAAGCATGCATAGTTCATGCTTGCCTTTATATATTTTCGCTCCCCAGGCCCTGATGTGGGTCAAAGACCTGTGCCGGGTGGGCTAATCCCCGTAAAAAAAATAATAAATAAATTAATAAAATAAATAAATAAATAAATATACTATATATATATATATATATATATATATATATATATATATATATATATATATATATATATATATATATATATATATATATATATATATATATATATATATATATATATATATATATATATATAAATATATATATATATATACTGTACGGTATATATATATATTTATATACAGTACCTCATTCTATGACAAAATTGCAGTCGTGAAAACCATATCACTATAAAGTGACACATTTCAACACATTCTTAATATTTGCATGCATGAAATTGAAAATGCAGCAATTTAATGGTAAACTAAATTAACATTTTTTCAATAATTGCCACAGTCAACTGAGATAGTCGTAAAACTTTACCGACAACAATTGTCTTTTCATCAGCAGCTGGGTGTGTCATAGGCCATTGCACCATTACTGTATATATCGACCTAATATTTAACAGGTATTTCCATTACAGTATCTAGTACATAATGGTTCCAAGGTTGCCAGATAAGAGAGGGTGAATCTGTGGTATAAAAGTCAGCCCCTACAGTTTCACTATTCCACCTCAATCAAAAATTCCTGTGATAAATACTGTATGACGATTTCTGCTTCCTTCCAAATTACTAAGAATCTTCCAGTAATTTTAAACATCAACTCAGAAATTTTAAGGAATATTTTATGAAGTTAAGTTCAGTCTGTTATTCTTTTCAGTAAGTTTTATTATAATACATAAATAACAAATCCATTTACATGTAGTAACAAAAGTAATCACACAAATAAATACACATACACCATTCACACAAAAGTTGGTGTTGTAGTCTTGTCCAAATCATCTTCTGTTTAGTCAGTCAACTGTCCGTAAACATATTTTCAGTTCCGTCAGTAAATCTTCTTGTGAAATCAGTCAAAGTCACTTAGTCCAGGTCATACCAGTTAAAGTCAGCTTGGTGTTGATGTCAGAGGAAGAAAAAGAATATGAGCTTTGGTATGGCGATGGCAGCTACGGGCACAGCTACAGCCAGGGACCTGTAATACAACAGTTCTTACTAATTTGCTAAAAGTTTTCTGCATCATCAATTTTGTTTTGGAATATATAAATATATAGAACTTGATAAAAGCTCACAGGAAATGGGAAACACTCGAGTACCTTAGCTTTCATTTTTATTCAAGACATCTTCAGAAGCAACTGAAGATGTCTTGACTAAAAATGAAAGCTAAGGTGCTCCAGTATTTCCCTTTTCCTGTGAATTTTTATCAAGATTTATCTTCTCTACATTAACATTGTGGATCTACAGGAAATATATAGAAGTAACTGATACAGTACAGTAGTCCCAAGAGATGAATTATCAATTCATTTGTAGTAATACAAAACTTTCTGTAATGTATTTTCATTGGAAGGTTTATGTGTTAGTAGTCCAAGATATGAAGGAAACTAAAAAAACAAAAAAAAAAAAACAAGATGAAAACATGAGTCCAAACACCAAGCAAAGTTATTCAAGATTGGAGTTTCCATTAACTGCGCCTAATACTGTATTCCCTGTCAGAGCTTCAACCCAGGACTGCTAGCTCTTAATCCAAGGTGATACACATATGGCTACCAGCTAGAGTCCAAGAGGATATTATCAAGGACTCACATGGTGCAGCCCTGGGTTCAAGCTTCAAGCCCTTTAATGGTTATATTGATACTCCTAGACATTAAGTATCTATTTGTTTTATTTGTTGAGACAGTATGTTATTAGATTGTTTGTAACTCCGCTTTGTACATATTTTTCCAACACACATTGTATCTTGCATCAAAACTTCTTTCATGATTCCTTCATTCATTCTTTCATCCGACATTAATATGAGACATGCCACATTTCACATCTAGCAAACTGTGCCTGGTGTGTCAAACAGATATGCTATGACTCCTACAGGAAGCAATGAACAAAACACATTTAACATCTGGTACTGTATATGGCAGTGTCATCTCATAGAATTCATTATGTTAACAATCTGTGATTGTCGGAGAACTGATGGGACTCTTTCCGTGATTATACAGTACAGTACTGTACTGTACATATCTTTTAGTACTGTACTGTAATACCATGACAGTACTGTATCTGTGTTTAATCTACAAGTAGATGTATGGAGTGCTTTTATATACATTAATCATAACTAATACAGAATTCATGATATTCACAAATCCATTCAACACCTGAATGTACAGTAATTACCAGATCTGTTTTGTACTACAGTATGGTACTGTAGAGGTTTGCCACATGTTACATGTTAATACCAGACACCAGCAAGATGTGAGGTGTGAGACTGGTGTGCATCAGGCCATAATTTGAGATCTGTCATGGAAAGACAATAAGCGTTCAGGTTCTAATGTTTACTAGTTTAATTAATTTACTGGTTTGTGAAAGCTACCTTGATCTGCTTATTTACATAGTAAGGTTGCTTGTACATACTGTATTATCTAAAGTCTTAACAGCATTCACTCCTTTACATATAGACCACACATTCTGTTTTATTCACCTTCAATTTCACTATAAAACCACTCAAGTCCCATGTCATAGACAGACATGTCCTACCTACCTACCTTATAAAGTAAAGATGCCTATGTAAGATCGCTTCTCATTCATCTTAGCAAACACAATAACATTCTAGCTTCCTTCACATCATCATCAATGTTTCACGACCATTTTCCACACTTGCATGGGTTTGCTGTGATTACCTGATGGCAGCTGAATGATATAAGCTTTGGCATGGTGATGTCCATTATACTGTATACAGTATAGGGCTGAATAAATATATTGGGGATAACTGGAATATTACCAGTAATATGTACAGTATATATGTGTGTACGGTATGTACAAATATTTATGTTGTCAACAAGCAAACATACTGTCTATACAGTACTGTAGTAGGAATTAAAATGCACATTTTATCTGGAATGCTACAAGCAAAATGCATTTGTAAATTTTCAGTTTATTAAAAAATATTATATCACCAAATTTACATTTGGCTGTGAAAAATACAGTACAATAATTGTAATCTATTGAAAGTTCAATGATACAATTATAATTAAGGAATATATTTCTTGTCTTCCATGAAATGTGTATTGCATTGTCAAGAGCACTGCTATGGACACACAACAAGTGAATTATCTGTCCACTCCTGACATGACAGATCAGCCCCAGAACCACCAGGTTGCCAGTGACCTGAGATATTATACACAAGAATAAACAACTGAGAAATATTGCAGAGAAGATATTACAAAAGCATAAATAATATTAGCATGAAAACAGCTAAATTATTGCCACATTTAAATTTCTGCTGACCATCAACTATTATAATCTATATCCTCTAATATTTTAATTTACTTTTTTATAATCGTATGTATTATCAATTTTTACTGTACAATACAGTAATGTACATGTATTTAAGATTCTACAAGGAAATACTGTATATTGCAAAATGTACAATTCAACTGCCTGATTCAAGGCATAAAACCCTAAATCAATCAATTTACTGAACTCTACCACTAATGCTGTTCACATCCCTAAACAAACAATTTCTATGGTTTTAATTCATAATCTTCACCACTGACTGACCTGTTAGCCACTTGGGCCGCTTCTGAAAGAGTTCACCACAGGAGTCATTAATCCCTTGTGTACGTGATCGTCTCTGAACTGAATACAGTCTCTCCTCGACTTACGACATATTCGACTTACGACAACCCGGACATACGACGGCCATGGTCATATAAAGTATTTTTCACATTACATATTTTCGAGCCTCGATGTTAGTGATCGTGCCGTGTACTGACAAAATTTTCGTTTGTAATTCCCTTTAAAATGGATGGCAAGCATAAAAGTGAGAGTTCTTGTGGTGCTGAGAAGATTAAAAAGAGACACCCATTTTAGATTTTCTATGTATTATTTTCGCCATTTCGATTTGCTGTATGATCAATTTGACTTACGACCTGATCGTTGGGATGGAACCCCGTCGTAAGTCGAGGAGAGATTGTACTGTAACATCATCAATCATCTTTTATTACCCAAATAAAATATTAATGACATTTTCCCAATGCTAATTAGTTGTTAATTATGGTTTTCTGAGGTGTGATTTTGGTGTTTTTGTGTTATTCTGGAAGTACTTAATTAATTAAACCCCTTAAATTTAAATTCCGAGAGAAATTGGACTTTCTTGTAAATCATAGTACTACAACTATAGGTACTCTTGAGCATGCCGATTCCGAATCTGTGGTCCCCGATTTGACTGCGGGGCAATTAGTGGTCGTAATGATGCTTGAAGATTTTAAAAGTGGTGTCCTCGTAGTGAAGAGGTTTAATGATAGCACAACGAGCTTAGTTCCCTACAACAACATGGGATCCTCGTGTAATCTGTGTTTGATGCCCAGAGTCTGCCTAAGTGTAGAAAATGGGAGCAACAAGAGTTAAAAGGAGTTTGTACAGTATTGGGATATGAACAGAAGAGTGGTACTGTACTGTACTGTACTTTATTATGATTTTAAGTTTCCATTCAACAAAATTCAATTCCTCAGAGATCAAGAGCTGTTATATGTCTGAGGTCAGCAAGAATTTAAGCCATTTTATAACTGTTTCATGTAGTCCAGTAGACCATCAACTGTGGAACTTAATTTATGGTCGTATATTTCTTACTGTCTTAAGGAATTTTATAAAGTTGCTGTTTCTATAATTATTCCTCTGACTCTTACATGAAAATGCATAACATAAGATAATTCTCTGTTAATAACTAATTATAACTGAAAAAAATGCTTTATCATAAACCATAGATAATGTTTCTGATATAGAAATAATTTTTTTTATTTTTTATAGAAAATACATTTTCCACTATCATAGCAGGATGGCAGATGTAAAGCCATTTTGAGAGCAGAAGAGCTGCAACTTGATCTATCAGAGGACATGAGTGCAGGACTTTAGCTGTTGAACAAGTCATCAAGTCACAGTGGCTTTACTTCAAGTAGAGTTGTGGATAAAAAGAATTTGGCAGGCAAGAAGGTTGGGAAGGAGGGGTTGGTGGAAATTTGGCACCATTACATTGAGGTGGTGATCAAGATTCTGTGAATTTTATTCCACACCGCAAATTGAATTTTTTTGGTTTAATTATGAGGCCAATGCAGCTTACACCCCTGCTGAGTTCTTTTTGTCCACAACTGAACCAGATGTATGATCACTGACCTAATCAGATTTCACATGACCCATCCGTTTCCCCACGACCTGACCTATCCCTGTTTCCCCCACAACCTGGCCGAAGAAAAGTGACTCTATTTATCCCCTGGTCACAATTCATGGTCCCAACTTCATGAGACATCAGTTGCTACTCTTGCTCTCCCTTGATGACACCTGACCTAAGAAAAATTATTTGTGACCATTATAAAGGCCCAGATGACTCCCATAACCACATTGGCTATAACGACCCTTTATGATGTATGACTTGTGACCTCGGGTGTGAGAGCCGCTGTGCTACTGTATATAAACAATCCATTGTATATCATAAAAAATTTGATGAGTTGCCCTCTTAAGATTCTGTTACTAAATATGTATTGTGAGGAATCCTGTATTGTATTAATATTACCGGGTACTGCAGACGTCCTAACCATTCATCTAGTTTATACACACTTGAGGCAGATACAGTACTTCAGGAATATAATCACTAAAGGTGTAGCACTGTGTTATAATTATCTGAAAATCCGAAAGATGGCCGAAGGTATAGCAATGTACCGTCAACTACCGTCCATTCGCCTCTCCTCCTGAACCATGGACCCCAAGATTCAGACTCATGAACCTGAAGCATTTATGGACTGAATAATGTATCAGTATACGGACTCACGAGTCTGAATCTTGGCGTTCATGGTTCAGTGAGAGAGGCAAACGAACTTTAGTAGTTGACTGTATAGCATAGAAAGGTAAAGTGACTTAGAATCAGGACATTTTACACATACCATCCTGCTCTCTTGTTAACTATAAGTTACACCAGACAAAGACTTTAGATAAATAACAGAAGAGGAAGTTTTATTATTTAACAGAAAATTGAGACTTGAACTTAAAATTCATATTGTATGGACATATTACAATAGAACTCAAACTTTGAATTAAAAAGCAAAGGCAGATCCAGGGGGGTGGGGGGGCGGGGGGAGGTTCCTGGAGGTCTGGACCCCCTTTTCATCAGAAAATTCCAATACCTTTTCTTTAGTGTAGTATTTTACTCAGTTATTTTTATAGAGTAAAACATAATTACTATTGATCTCAGAATATCTCCATATCAAGTGCACATGGCTTCAAAATGGCCTCAAAATGTCCATGATATTGGTCAGATTTAAAAAAAAAATTTGGGGGGGAGGGGGAGCTGAGGGCAACCCTCCAAAAACACCCAGCTGGGTGGGCTCGCTTTGCTCACCATGTTCCCCCACCCAAAACTTCTTGGACCCTCCCCCCCCCTTTTGATATTCCTGGATCCACCCCTGAAAACACATGGAAAATATGTATTGTAGATACTGTACAGTTTTTACATAATTTTGTAAAAGTATCTCGAGCATCTTTATCAACAACTTATCAGTGAGAGTCAAGCAACACAATCAAAGATTATTATAATTCTGTACCAACACCAATAAGCTCTACCATCACCATTAGCCACTATAACCATTAAGTACCATTACCAACATTAACCAAAACTACTAAGCACTATCACCACCATGAACCACAGTCACCATGAAGCACCATTGCCACCATTAACCACCACCACAACAAGAATAAACCATAAACACTTTTGTTACACCACAATAGTACCGTCCATCGCTCCACCTCATAACCTATCACAGTTTACACAGTACAGTACAGAACCATTATAGTACTTTTTACATTTATAGTTCTGATCATTAATAAAAAAAACAATACAGTCAAACCTCCACATAAGAGGCTTCTCTCTCCATATAATCCGTTAGATGAGTGTGTCACATCTGACAGTCACTTTAGATGTAAAACTTGGATCTAACGGATTATATAGAGAGCGAAGCCCCTTATGTGGAGGTTTGACTGTATTGTACTATGGTATGTATAGTTTATGAGTCTTTGTTACACTCTTATAGTTGCAGAAACAAATTTACCTTCTAACATTAACTTTTGGTAACACTGTAACTTGTACAGTACTGTATAATCTCTCACTAGAAATACATCTTTGTTAAAAAGTAAAATCTATTATGGAATATTTTCTTTTCATTTCAACAAAATAATATGGCAAATTATGTGCAAGTACTGTATTTGATATACAGTGGGGTATGCTATTATGAACGGATCCTACTACGAATATTCCTATAACGAACGGTTTTACCTATAAAATTGAGAATGCTATAACGAACGAAACTCCTACAACGAACATTATTTAAATTTTTTTTTTTTTTACTAATTTATTGTTCTTTTTATTACAAGTATTAATGATATTCTTTATTTCAGGGGTTTAAATGCATATTTATGCACTTTTTTACAATTTTTACAATTTTATATTATATTTTTCAGTGTTAAGTGGTTGTATTTGGGGGCCTGGAACGGATTAATCCTATAACGAATGAATGCTATAACGAACAAGGTTCTAGAACCAATTAGATTCGTTATAGCATACCCCACTGTACGTGCTGTATACTGTACTACAGTATTTATTATGTTAAACACTTTTCTTATGTATACAGTATTCAGAATTTCTACTAATTTTACACATTAAGTGAAACAACATGATGACAAGCACACAGTATTTAATAATGATTGTTTATGGATAAATATTCTTCACAGCTTAATGTTGGTTCTTGTATTACAAAATATGTAAGTGCCAGAACATACAGTACATGTACTGTACCAGGCCACAAGTAAACATTCTAAATCAGTGTTCAGTAATTACTAAAGCAATTTACATGTGCAATAAAAGTGTTATTTAATAAAACTCTTGAGCATCATAACAGGTATCACAGAGGTGAAAAACATAAGTGTGATAAAACATTACAACATTTCTTTATTTACAGTGCTACTTCAGAAACTAAAATTAGGAACTATAGTAAAATTGATGACAAAATTAATGCTTACCCTTATCCTTTAGCAAACAGTACAGTACTAGTGAAAATGTTAAATACAGGACTGTACATATCTAATCTACTTGTTTATACTACAGTAGTGTATAAGAGTTATATAATTGTAACTACTGCAGTAAATTCATATAAAAATAAAATATTATATTTTTATACGTCCTAACATTTGAAGTTCGCAGAGAAACGCCACAAGAGAACTGATCTTGGAGTTTCCATTAAATAACAAAGCCCACAGCCAGATGGCTCATGCAATGCGCACAACATGCTTTCAGGCTGTACCCACCACACCCTTGACACAGGTTAATGGGATCTATTAGTGTAAGATTAGTTCTTCCTTCCCAATTACAGCCATTACACTAAAAATAACAGAAATTAGAAGCAAATGTTGCTACTGAAATCATCTGTGGTCACATCACTTTAAGCCATTTACAGACTGATGCCCTGTGATGGTCTAGTGACAGCATGCCTGCCTCTGGGTTCAATCCCCAGGTTGGATCTGAGAAGGGTGTTATCCTGTGTGATCTCACCAAACATGGCAGGTTTTCTCCATGTACTGTACTCCATCTTCCTTATGCACAAACATTGGACCATGGTGGAAAATTGAGGAGGAACATTGGGAGGATTAAATAAGACACTGGCTTCCTTCCCTGTCAAAGAGATGAAAAAAAAATTATGCTGCCAGCCAAGTAAGGGATGGAGATGGTACTGACAGACTGCCCCATCAGCTGATGTGACATTCACTACCACTGGGTTAAGTCTTCATTGAGACACCTGCCAATAATTGTCTTGGTACATGTTGTTAATGGATAGATGACAGGGCCAACCCAATGAAGAAGCTTTGCCCCTGGGGTCATAGATACCAGCTATGCACTCTGCTGTATACAGTATGCCTGATCATTTAATCATGGAAACTATGTATTATCTGGTGCTGTAGCTCCAAAAGCTGGGAGGCTGCAAATGATGGATGGCTGGGTACTGAAACTGAGAGACTGCACTTGCTTCCAGGACAGGAAAACCCAAACAATTGTCAGACATGGTGCTTACTGTACACAGCTTGTTTGACCACATGATCGATCAATAGACAGTCTGTTTTCAGTGATAAATTTTGCTTCTAATGTCATTTTTTAAAATCAATGATTATGAGAGAAGGTTGAAGTAATTACAGTACAGTATATGAGAATTGTGAACCACTAACATCAAAGTTCATCTGTGTATGACCAGACAGCATGGTGTTCCCTTCACATGAGCCATCTGGAAGCAACAGGCTATATGCAGCTTTTAATAATTTAATAATATTTTACTGTTACAGTACATGCAAAGTTACCCTTTCCTTGTTATGCAGAAGGAGGCATGCAGACCTAATACTGTTAAAAGAAACTGAGAAACCAGACATACGTAATAGTCAGGCCAGAGAAGATCCAATTTCTCCAATCATTTCTCTCCCGGAGCTCCATCTGTTCATTGATCTTGGCACACGTGTGCTTGCGGTCATTAGATCGGCCTGATTTTAAGTCGCACAACATGCGCTTTTTGCACTCAGCATCACACTCCTCCCGTGCCACAGAGTTTTTCCAGTAAAATCTGTAAAGTATAAATAGCGCTAATTATTATGAACAAGTCAGGTGGTTATGTTATCGTGGCAATAAGATTAGAGTTTGGGGTTTGGTTGTTGGCAGACCTGGCCACAGAAAGCACTTACAGGGTGACATGACAGAATTTATAATTCTATTAGTTGTACAATTTGAAGCAAAGTTTATTTTAAGTATCTGAATTTTGCTTCAGTTTGCACAATTTTAGCACTTCACTTGACTAATGTACCATAACTTTATATGTGATTTAGTTCTATATACATAGATATGTTTTAGATATGTTTACTTACAAATAAATTACCTAAATGAAAAATGTTCAGTTACCTGAGATATTTTTCAAAAAGTTCATCTTCTAATGCCATCTTATAAACTAAACTGTTCCATTCCTGAGGAAGCAAGTTCCTCATGTTATATGCTCTCTGAGCTGAGTATAACTGGTACCATCTTGGGACTCCATCTCTGTTGGCTTCATCTAAGTTCATGACCCACGTCTCATGATCCATCACAAGCTGTTGACAAAAGTAAAGCAAATTGCCGGCTTCTGCCATCATGTCTAATCCGAAGCTGTTACATAATCCCTTTATGTCCACTGTCAGTTAATGATGACCTGACCTAATGGGAAGTAGACAAAATAGGAGTAGATGGACTGGGATATTACCAAATTACCTTCATCATCAATTCTAAGTCTCTGATCTTGAACCTAACCAAATAAAACCATTGTATTCAACACTTAAAGTGACCATCATCAGTGGAATTTAGTTGTAAAGACAGAGGGCATCATCAGTGGATATTTCATGTTCCTTACTTTCCATTTTTGCACATATGGGGCAGAGTAGGGAATTCTTAGCCACCACTTAGGGTTACCGTAAAGTACTCTAATGACTGAAAATAAATACATACAAACACCTTTGATACTGTCTTCTCCCTCTTAAAATCTGTACAGTCATGTTATTACAGATAAACACCTTGAAGAACAGCAACTCCTCTTTCACATCCAAAATGGCTCCTGGTCATTTCTCTGAAACCTTTAGCAAATCTTGTTGCTCTAGATATTATTAGTTATTCTAACATGGTCTGACACAGTGGCATACCCAGAAATATACTGGGGGGGGAGGCAAACTTTGTACAAAACTTACCGGGGTATTGTTGAAATATGATATAATTAATATCTTTCTGTATGTTCATGATGAGCTAACCATTCAATTAGTGATATTATTTTTATTTCGTTATCGTTATTGCTTTTTCTTATCTTATTACTGTACCAACCTTTCGTGATCCTGTGTAGTCTCCCTCAATGGTGTATATTCTGTAGCCAGGATTAAGCTTGTAATATGATGTGACAGACGGTCCGATGTAAGCAATATTTGTCACACGATGGCGATTATATTCATCGTAGAAAAGTTCAAATTCATCATAATGGGTATGTCCAAAAAACTGGGCAGTAATTGTAGATTCAAACCTGAAAATTTGGGATATTATTATATACATTTATGAGGTATGCGATCTATTTAACTCGCCTCCAACCACAGCTAATCCTTTATGAAGTCTTTCACTACACTTTAGGATGACAGCCACTGGGTGAAAAGTGGTTGGGTTTAGCCTTGTAATGAAGTTCGTAAAAAAGGAGAGACCAACTGCCTGAATGACTAGTAAGTCGAGAAGTGGTAAAAATGATAAATTAAAGGGCAAGACTTGCAGAAATAACAATAAGTGATAAAAGTTCTGCATTGTAAGCAGATAAAAAATCTAATCTGGTAGCACAGTACAGACATATTGAGAAAAGGAATACTGATATGGATGGTAAGAGACTCGAATACCAAGAAGAATAAGATGGAATGATGGGGTGAAGGGTGTTACTATACCAGTGAGGGTAATTTATATTCAGAAAACAGCTGTGTGCTTGTCTGAGTGGAGAGCAAGACATTAAATTGTTTTTTAGGGAAGGATGTCCAGCTGATGGATGCTGCTGGCTTGCATAAAGTAACAAGGATAAACTAAATCTGCGGTCTTGTTGATGAAGTACAGTACTGTAATAACGCATCTTTTATTACAGTAAGAATGAATAATAATGATGAAAGGGAAAACGTGTGTGCATTATGTGTTCTTGTGTTCATTAACATAAATTAAACAAGAAAAAATAAATATCTTATTATGTGTTCTTGTGTTCATTAACATAAATTAAACAAGAAAAAATAAATATCTTTTCTTACTGTATCAATTAACATTGCATACTGACGTTAAAACAAAATTTTCATCAGCAACTATACTGATGCAAGTCTAACCAATGCCTGTATACTGTACTGTGGGTTGCATTATACCTTGTTAACAGGGTCCTTTGACTTTGTAAATGGGAGGCAGTCCATAATTGTTTTTTCGTTGCAAACTTCATAAATTACACAAATATCTTAATTAAAGCTTTATGTCATCATCACCCTCATCATTATCATCATCCTACCAATAATAACACAAAAATGTACAGAACTGATATAAATGTTTTACTAATAGTACATCTAAAATACTGACAGAATAATGTCTGTCTATACCTGTTAATAATAGTGTAGTAGTTATGGCTCCAGACTTTGAGACAGTCATGGTGGCCAGGGGGGATGTGACCTAATATGTGGACCTTCTCTCCTCTGTCTTCTGCCCCTTGTAGTTCATAGATGAACCACTGGAGCTCCTGTGCCGGGTCAGTTGAGTTTAGAAGAAGCCACCTGGGAACATGATTAACATAGAACATCTTTATTTATGATTGATTCTGAAACATGAACTAAAATGTTGCTTGAGATTAGAACAGGTTAAAGTAAATATACTCCCAATACAAACTACATAATTATGATAGCACAGGCAGGGTAAGGTGTTTATAATATACTAATGGTAGCCCCTCATGTAATGAGGATGGCCAGCCCAAGGGCCAACTAGGCCTAAATTTATTTAAGGTGTAGAAGCTGTCACCAACACAACAACCACACCCTAAGTTAACGAGTTGTATGACCCAGTGTCAAGGAATAGTCTGAGAAGACTGGACAACTCACCAACTGCACTGCTAACCATTACCTTGGAACACGATCCACAAATCGATTAACATCCAGGTCCCCAATTACTGTTGGGTAGACAGAGGCAAATGGCATAAAGAAATTTGTCCATAGTTTTCCCCTGCCTGGGGATCAAACACGGGTCTGCTCGCTTGCGAGGCGAGCCTGTTGACCATTACATTATAGGTCGCCATAAGATGTTTATATACCCACTGTGATATCCCCAGTCAAGATGTGGCAGCAGCATCACAGTAGTAGAGGTGAGTGGGGATTCGACTAATGTCTCATGGATTGCGCTGCCAGTCATCCCTTGCAGTCGTCTATGGTTATGGATTCATGCATGATACGTATCTTGACTGGGGATATCACAGGGGTACAGAAACACCATATCCTGACTGTACCATGGTAAATGTTAATTCCACGACTGTATTTTACAGTAATTTTGGTGGATCTCCGTTGCTGTGTTTGTTTTGATTTCAAATGTAGAATATAAACCGAGTTTGAGAGTAAGGTAAAAAAAAAAAGTTTGGAACCCACTTATCAAGCAGACTTAATAAAGATAAGCCTCCAAAATCTAACCTAACCTGATCCAAATTATCCTTGAATCATTAGCTTATGGGCTAGTGAAGGGTTGGTTGGTTCTTATGGTCAGCTTCATAAATAATTTTCACACTTGTTCCTTGTCTCCCTCCCCCATCAGATCTGTTTTCTATCCAAGCTGTGTATCAGTAAGGTTCCCATCAGAGAGTATCAAGGACTAAAGAGGTAAAGATAATTGGATATTTATCAGCACCACTACAGTGAAATATCTATTTAATGGACTATGTGGAGAGGAAAGTACTTCATATCGAGGGTCCACTAGATGTGAAACTTCCATCTAACGGATTATATGGACAGAGAAGATCGTTATATGGAGGTTTCACTGTACCATACTTACCAGTTTTTATTATTGCAGTAATTCATGTTGAGTGAAATTATCCTGAAGCCTGGTCTGACAAGGACAGAATAGAAGGCTCCTTTTCTCACTGTTGGGGAGGTACTCTGTGGTAGCCATCGTTGCCACTGGTGATCCAATTCATCATACAGCCAGCTAACACCATAGTCTCCCATGATGAAAGGTGGAGGAAAACTGAGGGTATGGCAGAAAGTTCTCTTATAAATTGATGTAAACTTTTCAAAAGGTTTAAATTTTTATCACCTAAGTCCTGTACAATAAACAGTATATACTTCAGAGAAAATATATATTAATGAGTGACTAACAGCAAGTTTTTTTTTTGTATCTGTTGTAAAAAAGACAAAACAAGAAAAAATATTAACTTCACAAAGGTACTATTTTCAGATTTTACTTCCATTTACAATTTTCTAATAAAAGTCAACCTTCCTTTTTCTCACCTGTTTACTGGAGCTGCTTCATGGTTGCCAAGAGCTGGGAAGATTGGTGTATAAGGAAAATAATCCACCAGTTGTTGAACAGTTGCTCTCACTACATTCAGATTACTCTCTCTGGTCTGATTCCAAATGTCATGAGGGGGTAAATCGCCCGTCCAGATGATATAGTCAATGTCCTGGTAGTGAGCACATAAATATTAATTCTCATTCATATTTTCAAATTTTATTAGGATATACTGTACAGTCAACTACTAAAATCCATTCGCCTTTCCCCCTGAACCACAAACCTCGAGATTCAGACTCGTGAACCCAAAGTAGTAGACTGATACATTATTCTGTCCATAAATGCTTAGGATTCACGGCGTCTAGATCTTCAGGCTCATGGTTCAGGAGGAGAGATGAACGGATATTAGTAGTTACGGGTAACTGTACAAGCAACAATTACACCTTTAAGTATTAACCCCTTGTGTATGAGGGTCCCCTTGTACTGAATAAAATATTAACAATGGTGTCCCTGTAGTGAGGGGTTTAAGTCCAAGAACTGTAGAGTAAACTATGCAACTTCATTATTACTGTAATGTATTGCCCAAAGTCACTTCACACAACCCAGCATCTCACATCAACAATAGTGTACAGGAAGTTCCTAAGTTACGACCGTCCCACTTACGATTAATTATCTGAAATTAAAATCCCATTTTTTAACATTATTATCATTAATCTGTTTTGTTTAACATCACTTTATTTTCATTATTTGTTATGTATAGGATATTATTTTTCTTTGGTATGGGCAAGGTTGTGCTTTAACCTAAACTATGGAATTAACTCTGTTCTGACTTACCAACAAGTCAACTTACAATATAGGGTCCAGGAACTTATTCTTGTCGTAAGTCAGGGACTGCCTGTACTTTCAACCTTAAAACAATTTGACACTAAGCGCTGCATCTATTTATCTGGCGGTATTTACTAATACTTACAGGATGTAAATAGGCAATATTGTCTAGCATGCTTTCTATGGTTCTCAGAGGTGTGTCACACTTTCTGAAGTCTCCCCACAACCCAGCCCTCTTATCTGGAGACTTGACGGGACCAGAATTAGCCCGGCAACATAATGGTTCACCACAGTCAGCGTTAGATCCTTCTCTGTACTCAGGGTCAAAATGTGTATCAGAGAGGTGAAGAACCTTGAGGGTCGGCATCCCTTCCTGATGAATAAATAGGGAACATGTACTTTTGTGACACACAAAAGGCTAAATTTGTTTTAAAAATATAGAGCAAAATATTTAAGGCAATAATGAACAAAGAGCAAATATTGGTGTAAGAAATTTCATCTTTGCTTGACACCAATGATGTCTTTTGCTGCAATTCTAATGTGATAATAGTTATGCTGTGAAAGACTGATATTTACTATAATCTTGCTGCCTACAAAAGTTTGTTTTTAATTTTTTCCAACTATGATCATTAAAGTACAGTTGATCAATAAACTGCCCTTACAAAATTGTGTTAGACAAAATGACACAATGGACAAAGGATTTTGGAAACCTTACCAAGACAACAGGAGTTTCAGTGTTCAAGTAAAGAAAAAATTATGAAATTCATTGTCCCCCCATGTACAGATAGATTTTTGTTGTGCTGTATATGAATCATGTTCCATGTGACTTACTGGAGGTGGCTCAGGTCGGGGTACTGGAGGCTTGGGTATAGGTGGCAAGGCTACATGCCAGTCATGGTAAGGGTTATAAGGGGTGCCGCAAATATCACCGATGACAAATCCACATATTTCGTCTGGACTCATGACTAACTTTTCTATCACATAAACAACTTCATCCTGAAAAATATCTTATTTGTTTTAGTTCCTAGAGAGCGAGGACATGGAATCGACGACAAATTACTAATTAAAGAAAATACAACAAAACAGCGTAATGTATTAGGTCAGAGAATGATGTGTTAAGTTCAGGAAGACATCAACGAATAATTTGATAGTTTTTATAACTGCAGTTTTGTTTTGTTTTTCATGTACAGCTTCATGCAATATTCTCTAACAGTACAGTACAGGCAGTACCAATTTACTATGATATAAGTACAGGTATGTGAAATACTGTATACCATCATACAATGTCTAGTTACATGTTGTCAGGCAATCCACTGAGACTTACTGCCATTAAGTAGATGATACCCATACACACACGAGGGGTCTCAATCTTGAAAGACATGCACAGCTTAGAGGCGGCCTTGATGATGTCTTCTCTCGTTTTACCGTTCTGAACGTAGTGTTGCAGGAGACCCACACCTTAACAGAAAGCAATGTATCAATTGTTGTGACAGAAACAAATTAACCAGAAACTTCAAAGTAAATTATTACCGTCAGACCTCCAAATAATGGACTTCTCTCTCCGTATAATTCGTGAGATGGGGGGTTTCACATCTAATGGACCCTCGATTTAACAGACTTTCATCTCTATAAAGTTCGTTAGATGGAGGTTTCACATCTAACAGACCTTCACTATAACAGACTTTCCTCTCCGTGTTGTGATAAATGAGTCTCACTAAGTAAGTTGCTTTTCAGTCTCCTTCACAGTTACCCAAGTTTTTATTTTATTTTGTGTGTGTGTGTGTTTTTATACTCTTACCGGCTTTACAAGCATTACAGGACATGCTCGACATAATAGAAGTCTCAATCTCCTTAACCACTTGCTCAAAGTCGAGGAATCTTCCCAAGTTGGACAGAAACTTGGGTAAGCGACTTTCTCCCAATAAGCGACCCTCACGTTTGCTGATGCGTTCTAGCTCATTGTCTATCTCCAAGCGTAATGCAGTGTAGTTCAGCCTGAAAATGAGTCATTATTTATATAAATCAAGGTTATAATCATATGGTAAGGGATCATATAGAACAAAGGTCAGACAATGGCTTAATGAGACACTGAGGTCTTGATAGACTCTGTAATATAAGAGACCACATGCCTAGGGGAGCTAACTGTTGAGGCAAAAATATCCCACATTAAAACTCAGAATATCAGGAATTTAAACATGCAGCCTTTTTGTATGATGCAGAACACAAACTGCATTTTATATACAATCAACCCTCACTTTACGCGGTCCCACATTCCGCATTTCCACGTTTACGCGGTACCCTGACGGAACCCAGGATGCTCACATTCCGCGGTGCGTGTACCCCTTTACGCGGAGAGTGTCCGGCTCGACGCTATTTTTAGATTCGCCCCACCCGCCTGCTCCCGCCTCCTCCCTCCTCCGCCTCCGCCTGGGCAAGCCGCGCGGTAAGGTTGCGCAGTGCATGTCTCTGTTGCGTTATCAGTGACGTCATATGATGTATCGGACTGTGATTGGCCATGCATCCCTACCTCCCTCCGCTGCTAGCTGTAATTGGTTTAAAGTAATATGACGTGTCCACCCGGGGGAGGGAGGGAGGGAGGAAAGATGACGCTTGACCTAGCCACTGCAGTTTCATCCCTCCAGGCCACACCGTGTAATCGTGCATCCATTGTTCTGTAAAATGGCTTCCGCCGGACCACCGCCCCCAGAGAGAAACCTTTCCTTGCCTGGACCCAGCCGCCCTAAGCCCAAGAAGACACGACGTTCCTTAAGCTACGAGGTGAAGTACAAGATCATCCAAGAGTTAGAGAAAGGAACAAGACAAGTTGATTTGGCGCGCCAGCATGGTGTGAACGAATCTACGATCCGGACGATAAAGAAGGATGCAGCCAAAATAAAGGAGCACATGAAGATCACAAAGTCTACAGGTGCTTCTATGATCAAGTATTTCCACAACCAGGTGCTTCTCAAGACGGAAAAATTACTTGTGAGCTACTTGGTGCGTCAGGCGCGACGGAACATGGCGGTCGACACGTGCTCTGTTAAGGAGTACGCACGTGAACTGTATGCTGCAGTGTCACGAAAGATGGGAATTACAGAGCCCAAACCCTTTAATGCTTCCTCTGGGTGGTTACAGAGGTTTAAGATGCGGAACAAGATCACCAATATAAACATTGGTGGTGAAGAAGCTAGTGCTGACCGTGCTGCGGCTAGGGAATTTCCTCCGTTTTTACGTGAGATTATGGAGGAAGGACAGTACACCGACGACCAGGTGTTTAACATGGACGAATCTGGTCTTTTTTGGAAAAAGCTACCTTCCAAGACCTTCGTTGTGAAGAATGCCAGCAAGATTCGGGGCCGGAAGATGCAGAAGGAGCGCATCACCGTCCTGTTTACCACCAATGCCTCCGGTACCTGTAAGCTCAAGTTATCGGTGATCCACACAGCCCGCAAGCCGCACGCCTACAAGAGCATGGACATGACCAAGCTAAATGTCCACTGGCTGACCGCACGTAAGGCGTGGATGTTCTCTACACTGTCCCTCTCCTGGTTTGATGATTGTTTCGTTCCCGATGTAAAGAAATTCTGTGAGCAATAGAATGTGCCATTCAAGATTTTGTTGCTGCTGGACAATGCGCCAGGACACCCGCCCCTACTGTTAGATCGTCACCCCAACGTAAAAGTGGTCTTCCTTCCTCCCAACACTACGTCTATATTACAGCCCATGGACCAAGAGTTAATCTGTAATGTAAAAGCTGCATTCTCAACAAAAAAATTCAAGCTCCTGAACGACTACATCAACACCAGGGAAGAGTTGCGTAACCTGAGTGACACCACCACCGATAGCAAGAGCGAAGACGACGAGGATCAACAGTTGGCAGAGCAAAAAATACTTTTCAAACAATTCTGGAGAATATTCAACATCAAGAAAGCTGTGGACTTCTTGGTGGAGGCATGGGATCAGCTGTCTGTAGCAACTGTTCGTCACGCATGGAGACATGTGTTGCAAGGCATTCCGGGCGTAAGGCAGAGTCAATCTGTGACTGGTGAGGTTCAGGCTGTTGCAGTAGCAGTGGACCTTGCCAGAGAAGCTGCGCAGAGTGTTACAGCTGCAGGCTTCTCCGAGACCACCAACGACAACATCCTGGAGGTGATAAGGGATCCTGATGTGACTACCGACGAGATGGTAGATGATGATGACGTCAGTGAAGAGGCAGGTGGTGCGTCATCCCAAGAAGAACACTGCTTATCTCATAGTAATGTTAGGGGGTGCCATCGAGTGTGTTGAGAAAATCAAGCTCCTCCTTTCCGACGACCCTGACACAAACAGGTATGAAATCTTCACTACCCAGCTGTTGCAGACTATGGAGCCCTACTTCAAGGTTTATCACGACAACATAAACACCAGCCGTCAGCAAAGCGTAACAGAGTTCTTTGCCCGCAACCCACCACAGCCAGCCCAAGCCAGTGATAGTGACAGAGGTAGAGACAGTGAAGATGACTTTGAGGGATTTGTCAGGAAGGCCCTGACAAGTGTGGATGACAGTGATGGTGACTCACCTGAGGGCCAGTAGCCTGCCCTCTGCCTCGGAACCAGCCTCCATCCCCGTATGCCGACCCATCTCTTCTACTAATGTAAGTGTTCAACCTAACTTTTAGTTTTCCTAACCTAACCTTTATTTTTCCTAACTTAACCTTTATTTTTCCTAACCTAACCTCTTCTATATTTATTGTTTGTGCATACCATCATAAAGTTAAGATAAAATTTTTACTACAACATAGTTGTGTGTCGTCAAAAAGTGGAATTTGGGGGTCGGCCCGGTCTCTATTTCAATTAATCCCATATGTTATGTTGTTCACTTTATGCGTTTCTCACTTTCTGCAGTACCCTGTGGGTTATAGTAACCACGTAAAGTGAGGGTTGACTACTGTATATTATATCAATTGGCCATCTACCTAAGGACATGTTTTAAGATTTTTAAATGAAGATTTTCTAATTCCTTATATATTAAATAATATAAACACGCCAGTTTGACCACTCTTTCACACTGATAATGGGGAGTTATGTTTCTTTTTTCTTTTTTACGGGGATTACCCGGTAGCCCACCCGGGCACAGGTCACTGACCCACACCGGGGTTCTGGGAGGGCGAAAATGTAATAATAATAATAACAATAATAATAATAATTGGTTCATAGTAAATAAAATTTACAATAAAAAATACAAAATTAATGCTCTTAAGTTCCTTTGATTTAGTGGGCCACAGTTTGGGGATCTCTAGATACACCCGGCAATAAGTAAGTCCCCTCCCTTTAATTTAATTTTACACCACTTGGACTCTCCAAAAGCATCCTCTCCCTGAACCCTCGCCTGGCTGGCTCTAAGGTCTTGCCTAGCATAGATAACCACATTCCTCTTGCAAGTTTCTTGAGAAAGGTTCGTAAATGAGTCATATCCAGCAATACTGAACTCATATTCCTCTGGGTCGGTTCTCCTGTTCTTGTACAACAGTTCTACAATTCCCACAATATCTGGTTGGTGTACCTTCAGTAGTGTTTCAAATTCCTCTCTTTTATCAAGGAACATGTCAGTATTAGTGTACAGTATAGTTTGCATTTACGCGGTCAATTGAACCCGTGGAGGCCCGTGTAAAACGAGAAACGCGTAAATGAAATAACAGAACATATGTGATTAATTGAAATACAGACTGGGCCGACCCCCAAACTCCACTTTTTCCGACACAATACGTAGGTTGTAGTAAAAATAACATCTTAATTTTATGATGGTATGCACACACAATGAATAATTAAGAGAAATATCAATAATATTAGGTTTTTTAAACTTACGTTAGTAGAAAAGCTGGGTCAGCACATGTGGATGGCGGCTGGTTCTGAGGCAGAGGGCAGATTAGTTTCCCTCCGGTGAATCACTCTCACTTTCACTACTCACAGAGGTTTGCAGGGCCTCCCAGACAAACCCCTCAAAGTCCATGTCCTCACTGTCAATATCACTATCACTGACTTGGGCTAGCTGTGGTTGTGGTGGGTTGCGGGCGAGGAAGTCCTCAATACTACGTTGACGACTAGCATTGATGTTGTCGAGATAGATCTGGATATACAGCTCCATAACTTTCGTCAGATGGTTATTAGACGCTTCATACCGATGTTTGTCTGGGTCGTTGTCAAGGATGAACTTAATTTTCTCCCCCAACTCGATGATTTCCTTCACATTATCATGGCTTGGTGCAGGTAATTCAATGTTTTTCTCTGGTGGGGGGGGGGGGGTCCCACAGAAGCCATTGTGAGTTGTGAGGGGAATAGCGGGCACAAGAGAGAACTGTATACACGGACTGAGAACAATGAGACAGGCCCTGCTAGGTCAGCGACTTCTACCCTCTGGTGGCAGGGCACGTCATGTTACATTAGACCAATCACAGCTAGCGGCGGAGGGAGATAAGAATGCGTGGCCCAATCACAGTCCGATACGTCATATGACGTCAGCGATAACGTAAGAGCGGCCTAATGCGCACCACTCATCGCGCCGCTTCCCGCGTATGGTCAAGAATGGACCGCGTGGGTAAAAAATGGGGCGGCGGTCTGGACCTCTCCAGCCTCTCGCCTCGTAAATGACCAAATTTACAGCGTAATTAAAGCATTTTCATTCTGGCAAGGCACCACATAAATGACCAAACGCGTAAACAAAAGCCGCGTAAATGCAGACTATACTGTAAATGACATTCAAGCCAGAATTTGTTCTCGGTAACGTCTCTGTTCTTAGTAGTATCGCCCCCCCTCATTCTCAGAAGCTGCAACACTTGCTAAGTACACTGTATTTTGCAAGGTGTGGTTAGAAATGTTATTGTTTGCACGGCGCTCGCCTCCTCCCGGCTGGTAGGTGGAGCTCGTGCAATATTAGCGTTTAATATATTATCCACACTCACATCTTTAACATGTCCAACCTGGACCCATCTACATAATCTCCTTCCTCAGCCAGCTCTTTGAAATAAACTAAGAATTCGTTTATCATTATCAGTTCACTAGTCTCTATTTGCTGCTGTTTTTTGTGGATGTATACAAGTATCAATATACAGCTAGACCCCGACTTACGACGGGGTTAGGGACCGAAATCCAGGTCGTAAGTCCGAATGGTCGTAAGTCCGACATAGATATAAATTTTTTTTTTTTCTTTTTTTAATAAAAAATCCACAATGAAATACAGTACAGTAAAAGTAATAAATAATGAGGAATGGATACAGTACAGTGAAAGTAATAAATAATGAGGAATGGATACAGTGTGACTGAGCACTTACCTTGAATGTAGTCAGCTGAATGCACATGGGGCCCCCATAATTTTCTAATTATACATGGAGACTACATTAACTGGAAACGTTTCGGTATAGAAAATGCGTGTGTCATTTGGAGAGAGAGAGAGGAAAAAAAAAAAAAAAAATTGAAAAAAAAAAATGGTCACAACTGCGGCGGTCGTAAGTCCCGGCGGTCGTAAGTTGAAGCAGTCGTAAGTCGGGGTCTAGCTGTATTTATTCATAAGTGAGTATTACTATGAGTCTATCTCACCCTGTATGCCTTTTTAAGGTCCTCATGTTTCTTAATAAAATTGCCTGACTGTCCGCCAGGAATATAGGACGTTTGGGCCATAGACGTTTGGTTTGGGACAGCGTTGTTAGGACCTAATCCAACCTAACCTACCCTAACCTAACCTAGTCCACCAGTTAGTGTTAGGTTACAGGTAATAAGATTGGGTTACACGGACCTGGAGGGATCAAACTTCTCAACTCTCTCCTTTTCCTGTTGTGTGGTGGGGATTGGGAGTACCTCCTGTGAAGTGCCATCTTCTTTCTGGATTTTGTGGGGTCCTTCTGCCACTGAATAGACACGTAGTGGGTCCAAGGGGTCGCCATCAGCACCATGGGTCAAAGTAGGATGCAAAGGGCTACCTACAGTAAATACAAAGCAAAGAGAGATAAAAGTTGGAAGAGACGATATGTAGCTTAGGATAAGTTTGGTAAACTGTACTAGGTGTTATAGGCATTATGGTATATAAATCAGTTGAATATATACAGTACAGTAAGTCAAAACTTCTGTACTTGGGCAAACACGCACACACACACATGCCTGATCTGTCTCATTAACTTACACCTGGCCTGAGATTGATTTACACTTACCTATGGTGAGGAAGTAAATCAGCATAGACATACCTGAGGCTAATGGGGCCAAGAGGAGGACGAGGAGGAGACCAAAACGTGGTGAGGTGGAGACCATAGTAGTAGTAGTAGTGCCGCTCCGGTGCCCCGCTACCTGCCGGAGACCACACACTACAGTACACTATCTGGCCACACACCCCTACACTTATACCTGCCAGAGATCACACACACTATCTGGCCACACACCCCTACACATACCTGCCGGAGATCACACACACTATCTGGCCACACACCCCTGCCCCTCACCTGCCAGAGACCATCTACTCTGGCTATGGTCTTTCACTGTCCTAAGTGACCTGACTTTGCACTATTGTGTACTATGGAGCAAGTAACTACAGTAAATTACAAGATGTTGTAACCTTTAGACTAAGGTTAAGGTATAAGTACCTCTGGCAGTATATCCCTCAAGCAGATGTGAACAAAACTAAATGTAAAGCGTGTGGCTAAACAAATAGCCACACACATGAACACTACGTCCTCGACTGTGTGAAGATAGAACCTTTTAGGGACAAGTCCAAGCACACTGTGTGTGAAATTGCACAACACTTTATCTCTAATGTCAAGATAGCTGACATATTAAGATTGTATCCACCTTTTTGCACTTAATAGCTGTATCAGTTCCCATGTATAGAACCAAACACACAATGTGCTTGAATATCTCTCACGCAAATGTGAATAACAAAGTGTGCGGCCAGACATATTGCCTCACACTCCTGTACTCACGCAGTTGGGAATAAGTTACCCTTTATGTATAGAACTAAACAAAGAATTGATTTGAAATACTCTGTAACATTTAACGCCATTATGTCCTGACCACTGGGGTTAGTTATACTGACCCTTTGTGACCTAATTATCTGTAATCCTTTTGTGCTACCGCTTACAGGAGGGGTATGGGGTGCTCAATAAACTAGTCACTGTAAGTGGCTAAATTAAATTCTGGGTGTAATGCTAGTATGTTGACCCTGGGTGTGATACTAGTATAGTGTTGACCCTGGGTGTGATACTAGTATAGTGTTGACCCTGGGTGTGATACTAGTACAGTGTTGACCCTGGGTGTGATACTAGTACAGTGTTGACCCTTGGTGTGATACTAGTATAGTGTTGACCCTGGGTGTGATACTAGTATAGTGTTGACCCTGGGTGTGATACTAGTATAGTGTTGACCCTGGGTGTGATACTAGTATAGTGTTGACCTGGGTGTGATACTAGTATAGTGTTGACCCTGGGTGTGATACTAGTATAGTGTTGACCCTGGGTGTGATGATGCTAGTATAGTGTTGACCCTGGGTGTGATACTGGTATAGTGTTGACCCTGGTGTGATACTAGTATAGTGTTGACCTGGGTGTGATACTAGTATAGTGTTGACCATTGTGATAGTATAGTGTTGACCATGGGTGTGGTACTAGTATAGTGTTGACTGGGTGTGATACTGGTATAGTGTTGACCTGGGTGGCCAGTACTAGTATAGTGTTGACCTGGGTGTGATACTAGTATAGTGTTGACCTAGGTGTGATACTGGTACAGTGTTGACCTGGGTGTGATACTGGTACAGTGTTGACCCTGGGTGTGATACTGGTACAGTGTTGACCTGGTGTGATACTAGTATAGTGTTGACCTGGGTGTGATACTGGTATAGTGTTGACCCTGGGGTGTGATACTGAAGTAGTGTTGACTGGTGTGATACTAGTATAGTGTTGACCCTGGGTGTGATGCTAGTATAGTGTTGACCCTGGGTGTGATACTAGTATGAGTGTTGACCCTGGGTGTGATACTAGTATAGTGTTGACCCTGGGTGTGATACTAGTATAGTGTTGACCCTGGGTGTGATACTAGTATAGTGTTGACCCTGCGTGTGATACTGGTATAGTGTTACAGGCCTAGATTGTGATACTAGTATAGTGTTGACCTAGGGTGTGATACTAGTACAGTGTTGACCTGGGTGTGATACTGGTATAGTGTTGACCTAGGTGTGATACTGAGTATAGTGTTGACCCTGGGTGTGATACAGTATAGTGTTGACCTGGGTGTGATACTGGCTAGTGTTGACCCTGGGTGTGATACTAGTATAGTGTTGACCCTGGGTGTGATACTGGTAGTGTTGACCTGGGTGTGATACTAGTATAGTGTTGACCCTGGGTGTGATACTAGTATAGTGTTGACCCTGGGTGTGACTCACTAATGCAGTGTTGACCTGGGTGTGACACTGAGTAGTGTTGACCTGAGTGTGATACTGGTATAGTGTTGACCTGGGTGTGATACTAGTATAGTGTTGACCCTGGGTGTGATAATAGTATAGTGTTGACCTGGGTGCGTACTAGTATAGTGTTGACCCTGGGTGTGAGTACTAGTATAGTGTTGAGCGACCCTGGGTGTGATACTGGTATAGTGTTGACCCTGGGTGTGATAACAGTATAGTGTTGACCCTGGGTGTGATACTAGTATAGTGGTGACTCGTTGTGATACTAGTATAGTGTTGACCCTGGGTGTGATACTAGTATAATTGTGACCTGGTGTGATACTAGTATAGTGTTGACCCTGGGTGTGATACTAGTATAGTGTGTTGACCTGGGTGTGATGCTAGTATAGTGTTGACCTGGGTGTGATACTAGTATAGTGTGGCCTGGGTGTGATACTAGTATAGTGTTGACCTGGGTGTGATACTAGTATAGTGTTGACCCTGGGTGTGATACTAGTATAGTGTTGACCTGGGTGTGATACTGGTAGTGTTGACCCTGGGTGTGATACTAGTATAGTGTTGACCCTGGGTGTGATACTGGTATAGTGTTGACCTGGGTGTGATACTAGTATAGTGTTGACCCTGGGTGTGATACTGGTATATTGTTGACCCTGGGTGTGATATAGTATAGTGTTGACCTGGGTGTGATACTAGTATAGTGTTGACCCTGGGTGTGATACTGGTATAGTGTTGACCCTGGGTGTGATACTAGTATAGTGTTGACCTGGGTGTGACACTAGTATAGTGTTGACCCTGGGTGTGATACTAGTATAATGTTGACCCTGGGTGTGATACTGAAGTATAGTGTTGACCTGGGTGTGATACTAGTATAGTGTTGACCCTGGGTGTGATACTGGTATAGTGTTGACCCTGAGTGTGATACTAGTATAGTGTTGACCCTGGGTGTGATACTGGTATAGTGTTGACCTGGTGTGATACTAGTATGGTATTTGACCTAGGTGTGATACTAGTATAGTGTTGACCTGGGTGTGATACTAGTATAGTGTTGACCCTGGGTGTGATGCTAGTACAGTGTTGACTGGGTGTGATACTAGTATAGTGTTGACCCTGGGTGTGATACTAGTATAGTGTGTTGACCTGGTGTGATACTAGTATAGTGTTGACCCTGGGTGTGATACTGGTATAGTGTTGACCTGGGTGTGATGCTAGTATAGTGTTGACCTGGGAGTGATACTAGTATAGTGTTGACCTGGGTGTGATACTGAATATAGTGTTGACCCTGGGTATGATACTAGTATAGTGTTTGACCCTGGGTGTGATACTAGTATAGTGTTGACCCTAGGTGTGATGCTAGTACAGTGTTGACCCTGGGTGTGATACTGGTGCAGTGTTGACCCTGGGTGTGATACTGAAGTATGTGAGTGTTGACCTGGGTGTGATGCTAGTATGTGTTGACCCTGGGTGTGATACTAGTATAGTGTTGACCCACCAGGTGTGATACTAGTATAGTGTTGACCTGGGTGTGATGCTAGTATAGTGTTGACCTGGGTGATGCTAGTATAGTGTTGACTCTAGGTGTGATACTGGTACAGTGTTGACCCTGGGTGTGATACTAGTATAGTGTTGACTGGGTGTGATGCTAGTATAGTGTGTTGACCTGGGTGTGATACTGAGTATAGTGTTGACCCTGGGTGTGATACTAGTATAGTGTTGACCCTGGGTGTGATACTAGTATAGTGTTGACCTGGGTGTGACTGGTATAGTGTTGACCCTGGGTGTGATACTGAGCATAGTGTTGACCCTGGGTGCGATACTAGTACAGTGTTGACCCTGGGTGATGAGTATGAGTGTTGACCTGGGTGTGATACTAGTATAGTGTTGACCCTGGGTGTGATACTAGTATAGTGTTGACCCTGGGTGTGATACTAGTATAGTGTTGACCCTGGGTGTGATACTGGTATAGTGTTGACCTGGTGTGATACTAGTATAGTGTTGACCTGGGTGTGATACTAGTATAGTGTTGACCTGGGTGATACTATTATAATGTTGACCCTGGGTGTGATACTAGTATAGTGTTGACCTGGGTGTGATACTAGTATAGTGTTGACCTGGGTGTGATGCTAATTATAGTGACACAGGTGTACTAGTATAGTGTTGACCCTGGGTGTGATACTGGTATAGTGTTGACCTGGGTGTGATACTGGTATAGTGTTGACCCTGGGTGTGATACTAGTATAGTGTTGACCCTGGGTGTGATACTAGTATAGTGTTGACCCTGGGTGTGATACTAGTATAGTGTTGACCCTGGGTGTGATACTAGTATAGTGTTGACCCTGGGTGTGATACTAGTATAGTGTTGACCCTGGGTGTGATACTAGTATAGTGTTGACCCTGGGTGTGATACTAGTATAGTGTTGACCCTGGGTGTGATACTAGTATAGTGTTGACCCTGGGTGTGATACTAGTATAGTGTTGACCTGGGTGTGATACTAGTATAGTGTTGACCTGGGTGTGATACTAGTATAGTGTTGACCCTGGGTGTGATACTAGTATAGTGTTGACCTGGGTGTGATACTAGTATAGTGTTGACCCTGGGTGTGATACTAGTATAGTGTTGACCCTGGGTGTGATACTAGTATAGTGTTGACCCTGGGTGTGATACTAGTACAGTGTTGACCCTGGGTGTGATACTAGTATAGTGTTGACCCTGGGTGTGATACTAGTATAGTGTTGACCCTGGGTGTGATACTCACGTAGATTAAATTAATTGCCGGAGACCACACACACTGCCTGGCCACACACACCTACACTTACACCTGCCGGAGACCACACGCACCTACACTTACACCTGCTGGAGACCACACGCACTACACACCCCTACACTTGCTGAAGACCTCACACTAGAGCAATTTATTTTTGTGGTAGTAACAGCAGGAGACAGTTGGCGATAATGATAGGTAGTGTCACTGACTGTAGGTAGGTTGGGAGCTGATAATGGAAGGTATACAGTTATCAGTATTATTGTATGTCAGCGGTAATGCTCTCTCTCTCTCTCTCTCTCTAAGTTGTGAATGTTAACTTTTCTCAGAACTGGATATGTAACTGGCTGATGTAAATGCATAAAAACGGTAATACTGGCATCAAAATTACACTGAGACTCTATCTTAACTATACATTATGTAACCATCAACTGGGGAAGACGCAATAAACACAGAGACAACCTTAGTAAACCGTAAGTCAGGACACCGTTCAGGTCAGGACTGCCAATACTGAATAAGGAAAATCCTTCCCAACGTGTCCCCGTCCTGGTATCACTTGACTCCCTGTACACCACCGCCACACCCTTGTCCAAACATTAAGTCACTCACTAAAATATAAATACCTCTTCAGGTTACGTCAGAGTTCAAGACACACAAAGTTTCTTCCAAGTCAGATGTGAGGTATATCCCGTAGTCACAGCACAGTACAACTGAGTCCCAACTTCTGGCTTTGTGGCCAGCTTGTTTTATGGGTCACATAACTTACCACAAACTTTAGGAATCACACCGAGACTCTTGTAAGATACTCACAGTTGAAGAGGCTGCCAGGTGGAAATGAAAACTATATCGTGTTTTTTTTAAGTGGGTTGGATTCCCCTGTGATAAGTCAAGTCCTTCCACGTGTCATCTAATTCATAGCCCAAATACAGTGTTAACTCCCCTACTTCTATGGCGACTCACTGTGTGACGAGAGAGAGAGTGTGTGTGTGTGAGTAAGACCAGCAAGAGACTAAGATACACTATTAGCTCACAGGCCAGACAAACACCCTTCACCACCCTCCTACCTACCCCTCCCTCCCTCCCTCCCTCCCTCCTCTCATCTTGTGATTATCAGGACAGATTGGTTGTGTCATACAGGTGGTCCACACACCCCGTCCACTGTACTGTCACTGTCAAGCCCACACCCCGTCCACTGTACTGTCACTGTCAAGCCCACTCCCCATCCACCGTACTGTCACTGTCAAGCCCACGCTCCATCCGCTTGTGTTATTAATTTTATAATGTCACACTCACACCCTCCAATGTTATTAAGTGTTATCAGTGTCACACTGTCACACTCACAAATTATGTTTCTCGTTACAGGGTGATGAAAAAACCTGCTGGAGAGGACAGGTGAGGAAGAGATGGGGAGTCAGTATGGTGAGTGTTACTAAATCGAACCAGACCTTGTGTATGTTGTTTAGTGTACACCAGACCGTGTGTATGTATAGTGTACACCAGACCTTGTGTATGTTTGGTGTACACCAGACCGTGTGTATGTATAGTGTACACCAGACCATTGTGTATGTATAGTGTACACCAGACCTTGTGTATGTTGTTTAGTGTACACCAGACCGTGTGTATGTATAGTGTACACCAGACCTTGTGTATGTTTAGTGTACACCAGACCGTGTGTATGTATAGTGTGGTGGTAGAGGTTGGCGGTGGCAGAAACTGGTGAGTGTTAGGATTACATGACAACACCAAAACTTACTACAAGTATACAAGATACTACATAAGTACGGTGAACGGACGTTTAGGTCACGGTTAAGTTAAGTTAAATTAGATTAGGCTAAATTAAGTTAGGTTAAGTTAAGAGTAGATTAAGTCCTAACTATACACTGACCCAAACAGATGGACCAACGATATCCTGAGCTCTGTAAACACGCCAAACTAGACTACTAGAATCTATTTGTGTCATTAGTGAAGCTTATGTTGCCATTCTAATGTTATTGTACACCAAGACACATATACAGTGCTGTACTTTAATGTAATATACTGTACTGTGTTGTACTGTAACCTACACTCTATCAGCTGACATTGTTCAAGGGTCGACTACCTTATCATTTGCTCCGATGACCAACATCCAGTGAACTGTGAACCACAGTATCCTCATCTGTATTGCTCCAGTCATACCACGTCCTTACGCAATCTAGTCCAGGACAGAGTGTAGATAGGAAAAATTTCCTGCAACGCTCTCCCTCTCCCCATTATCGCGCCCCCCCCTCCACCGTGTGTGTGTGTGTGTGTGTGTGTGTGTGTGTGTGTGTGTGTGTGTGTGTGTGTGTGTGTGTGTGTGTGTGTGTGTGTGTGTGTGTGTGTGTGTGTGTTGTTGTTGTTGTTGTTGTTTGTTGTTGTTGTTGTCCAAGGACCTAACCTAATCGTACCTAGTCGCACCATCTACTGATAATATATTTCATAACGATCTGTAAATTTATCATTACAGTATGGTCACCCCTCTCGTCCAGCCTCCCTAGATTTTTTTTTAGATTGACCCCGAGGGGGCTAGTTTATTGGGCACCCCCTTACATCCTGTGCAAAGTGAAGTTAAAAGCGTTTACAGTGCCCATCTGGGAAGCATGCGTCGTTCATGCTTGCCTTTATGACTCATGCATTAAGGGCGTAAAAGCCTGAAGGGTCATGGGTTTTGTCAACAAGTTACATAAAGTGACAGAATGATGAGTGTGTGGGGGGAAATTTCCCGGTACAATTTATCTGTTTATGGCAAAGCGTGGCAGGTCCCTAATAATGTCAAGTGCCAGGTCATAGCCCTAGGCATTGACAATATTGAGGGACATACCTTTTAGTGTGATGGCGTGTACGTCGGTAGTGTCGGCTTCAAGGGGAACGTCGAGATTTACAAATTACAGATTGCCCACGAGGGGGCTAGTTTATTGGGCACCCCCTTACATCCTGTGCAAGGTGAAGCACGGAAGCGTTTACAGTGCCCATCTGAGAAGCATGCGGAGTTCATGCTTGCCTTTATGACTCATGCATTAAGGGCGTAAAAGCCTGAAGGGTCATGGGTTTTGTCAGCAAGTTACATAAAGTGACAGAATGATGAGTGAAGGTTGGTACAACCAAGAGGGCAGATAACCTAACGTGACCTTAGTCGAGTGTGTAAACAAGGCCCAGCTGTTATGGTCAAGTCAACTATAATAGTAAGAAAATAACGCGGGAAGTTGGTTCATCTCCCTGACCTGTGACGGATGACTTGCCTCGTAGCGGTAACGTGTGACGCTGACGTATGACAATAATCCGTGGCGGTGAGGTGTGACGATGAATTGTACTGTAAGTGTGTGGTGAAGTGTGACTTACTGATCACCACTACGACGCATCTGACTCACTAAAGATAGGTGTGTACGTGTGTGTGTTAAGAGAGAAGTGATTCACATCTGGGGTTGACATAGCAAAATTTTGTCATCGTTGCATGTTATCTATTATCAGCTCCCTTTCAGAACTTGTAAATAACTAAAGCGCGCACACACACACCTCTGAAAGCAAATTACCTGTACTTTTCGTTCAGTACTTCATCTCATAGTACACAAAACTGCACTGCATTTATCGCACAGTATCATGTCAGTATAGATGTACTGTACTAGTGATAATAAAAGGTCAATTATCATAGCAGGACATCATTCATGTGTGAGTAACTCAGTGTATATACTGTACTGTACATCAAGGCATTGGAAAGCTACCGAAAGCCATCCATTACTTGGGTGGTGGTGGTGGTGGTTATGCGCGCTACAACATTATATTGTACCACTAATTGTTTCTTAATGTGGGATTACTGGACGAGAAACTATAGCATTTGAAACGACACGAATACGAAATATTTACCATCTGACGTAGAAAGCACGGTAAGTGTTTAACTTTAGGCTAAATATAAAGACACGTCAGCTTTTTTGTACCCACCATTATAATTATCTTAAAGCCATCCGGTCACAACTCAGAGATACGACTTTTGTTTTTTTAAGTGATAAACGTTTGACCTCCTGGCGGCCACTGGGTGAAATAAATGAGGGTAAATTCTCGTGGAAAACTTAACTTTTTGTCACTAATTGTATATATGTCTGAACCAATGAAAATTTAGAATGAGGATTTTGATGGACGAATATTGATACTTTTCCTCCTCTCTGTCTCTGTTACGGTAAAATCACTTACTTTGAGCAATAAAAAAACCGATTACCTTCTTCACTTGGACGAAACTTGAGTAACTGTCAAATGGGAGATGCATGCGGGAGTGTGCGTGGTGTGGGGTGTGGTGCGTGGCAATAGAGAAATCTCATGACCACAGCCTTGATCGTGGTTCATTTCTCCCCAAGTGATATTTCCTGCAGTGAAAGCCAAGACGGACAATTTGAAGCTTTAGTAATGGTGAGAAGCTACCCACCCCCCCCCCTCCCAGCTCCCGGCCCATTCTGTGTCATGCTGCTTCTACCACCACCACTACTTGTTCCTCTTTGTTTTCCTTATTCACCATCCTACCACTAAAATTTGTCCAGTCACTTCACACACACACACACACACACACACACACACACACACACACACACACACACACACACACACACACACACACACACACACACACACACACACACCGTACACCATCACCACCAATACCAACACTACCTACACTATCACCTACTACAGCAACACCTACCGTACACATGTTCATCATCACCATTACCTACAGCACCATTTAGCAACCATTAAAACCATCGTTCCCGAGTACAGTACCTTACAAGGAGATGTTAAATAGCTACCTGTATTGTGTGGGTGTGCACATACTGTTCCCTGCCACGCTTCTCTGGTCATAAGAGCCACCACGCCATTGGTCACGCCCGCAGTGTACCTCGCTCCTCGACCAATAACAGTGAAGCCTAGTGAAGATGACGGCTCTTCTGAAATATAAACAACATATTAAATGACCTCACATAGACCACATTATGAGGAAGATTATGAGTATTACAAAGTAACTACAGTCAAGACGTTACATTATGAGGGATTCTGAAGCCATAATTCTCTGATAATTATCACAATATATGAGGAGGGTTGAGGTGTCACAAGTGTGGGGGCTCTGATGTCAAACTATATGAAACTCGTGACCCCCCAAAGGCATGACTCATGATGTCACAGTATGATGTCAACATTTCGACGTCAAAGATAAAGGGTTAGATAAAAAGTCCATGACGTCACCGTGTAAAATTACGTAAAGGTTAATTAAGTAGCACATGGGAGGTACAAGAGAGAGGATGGAGGAGGAATAGGAAATGTAGAAGAAGAAGAAATGATGGAAAACAACAACTCCAAGAAAACAATAAGGAGACGAAAGTAGATGAAGCGAGGGTGCTTTGTGAGAGGCGTCAACTTTAGAAGAGTGAAAGCAATAATAACTACCGCCCCAGCCCTTCCCCCCTCCCTCCTCCCACAAGCCGTTTCTCCTCCCCTCCCCAGGCTATTTCTCCTCCCCCTCCCCTCCCCCAAGCTATTTCTCCTCCCCCTTCCCTCCCCCAGGCTATTTCTCCTCCCCCTCCCCTCCCCAAGCTGTTCTCCTCCCCTTCCTCCCCAGGCTATTTCTCCTCCCCTCCCTCCCCCAGGCCTGTTTCTCCTCCCCTCCCCTCCCCCAAGCTATTCCCCTCCTCTCCCCAGGCTATTTCTCCTCCCCTTCCCCTCCCCCAGGCTATTTCTCCTCCCCTCCCCTCCCCAGGCTAGGCTATTTCTCCTCCCCTTCCCTCCTATTTCTCCTTCCTCTCCCCAGAGCTAGGCCTATTTCTCCTCCTCCTCTTCTCCTTCATTTCTGCCCAGGCAATTTCTCTCTTCCCTCCCCTTTCCTATCCCTCTTCTCCCCTGCCATCTCTCTCTCTCTCTCCCTTCCCCCTCTCTCTCCCCACCCTAACGTGCTCAGTCTGTCGTATGTAGGTAACTGGGTGAAGAGCGTGTGTGGGGGGGGGGGGGTCCATTATACATCACCACTACTACCACTTACCACCACTGACGTCACCACCACAAGCGTAGAACCTTCACTCAAATATACATGGAGAAATATTTAAATAATGCTGTAGATTTAAGACCTTTGGCGTCACTAGAGAGGATCACCCTGTGGCAGATACCAAACACAGCTCTTCTTTTAGCTTTACGAGGGGGTGATAGAGGCTCCTGCTTTAAGCTGTGGAAGCTGGTGATCTGTTGTATACAGTATGTCTATGTATTAACAACTTCCGGTATACATATTTGTCTGATATAGTATGAGTAACTGTATTGTTAGGTAGGGAGAGAGGCGAGGTGAAGAGGGAGGGATGAGGAACGAACGAGAGAGGCAAAAGGGAGGGAGGGAAGGAGGGACAGTACATCATGTCGCCTCTCCTCCTGAACCACGAACCCCAAGATTCAGATTCGTGAACCCGAAGCAGTGGAGACTATTGCATTATTCTGTCCATAAATGTTTGGGATTCAAATAATTCTTCAGTCTTATTACTCAGTGAACTTAATGTTTGTTTGTTGTGAGTAATGATAAGTTTAGACGTTGTTGTGACAGCAGTGATAACTAAAAGTACCTCAATAACACTCAGATAACGTTAAGTGGATCACCTCAGGAATCTCCATAACAATTTTATTACACATAAAGATTAGACTCTTAACGGGACCTCCATCCCCCCCCCTCCCATACTGCATAACTGAAACCCAAGAGTGTGTATAACTCATAAACAGAAAATGTAAACACACACACACACACACACACACACCTCGGAGGTCAGTAGACGTCACCAGGAGTGGTTGGTTGTGTTCTTTAAGAGCCAGACTGCTGTGGTAATGTTGGCAGCGAGGAACTTACAGGTGTGGTGGTGATAATTACCGTACTTCCCCCTCTACTACACTGTACTTCCCCCTTCGCCGTATCCTATCTCCCCCTCCTGTACACCACCCTCTTCTCCCCCCTCCACCACCTACACCCACCCCCTCCCCTCCACCCCCTCCACCCTCCACACCCCACCTCCTCTCACCACCCTCTCTCCTCCACCACTCCCTGCCCCTCTCCCCTCCTTGCCTACCCCACCCCCCCCTCCACCCACCACACACACCTCTTCTCCCCTCCCCCACCCACCCCTGCCCCACCCCTCCCCCTACACCCACTACACCCCCCCACCCCTCTCCCCTTCTCTCCCACCACCCCCCACCCCTCTCCCTCACTCACCCCACCTCTTCCTCCACCCCTACACCCCTCCCCTCCCCTCCCCCACCTCTTCTCCACCACTACCCCCCCCCTCTCCCCTCCCCTACACCCACCTCCTCTCCCATCCACCACTACACCCCCCCTCTCCCCTCCCACCACTACCACCCTCCCCCTCCCACACTACACATCCCCTCTCCCCTCCCCACCCCACACCACCTCCCCCTCCACCCCTACATCCCTCTCCCCCACCCCCTCCCCCTCCCACCCCACTACCCCCTCTCCCCCCTCCCCCACTACACCCCTACACTCCCACCCCTCACACCTCTCCCCCCCTCACCCCTCTCCCCTCCACCCCTACACCCCCCTCTCCCTCTCCCACACCCATTACACCCCACCTCTCCCCTCCCCCACCTCCTCTCTCCCACCCCACCTCCTCTCCCCTCCCCTCTCCCCCCTCCACCACCTACCTCCCCCTCTCCCCCTCACCCACCTACCACCCCCTCCCCCTCACCACCCCTCTCCCCTCCCACCCCCCCTCCCTCCCACCTCCCACCCCTCCTCCCCCTCCACCCCTCTCCCCTCCACCCCTCCACCTCTCTCCCCACCCCACCCCTCTCCCCTCCCACCACACCCCTCCTCTCCCCCCTCCCCCCACACCCTCCTCCCCCTCCCACCCTACACACCCTCCTCTCCCTCCTGTCCACCACCCCTCCCCCTCCCCTCCCCCTGCCTCTCCCCTCCACCTACACCCCTCCTCTCCCCTTCCACCCACCTCCTCTCCCCCTCCACCCTCTCCCCCTCCTCCACCCCACCTCCTCTCTCCACCACTACCTCCTCTCCCCTCCACCACACCACCTCCTCTCCCCTCCTGTCCCACCCCTCCCCCTCCCACTACACCCACCCTCCTCTCCCCTCCACCCACACACACCTCCTCCCTCCCCCTACACCACCTCACCTCTCCCCTCCCCCACACACCTCTCCCCTCTACACCCCACCTCCCCCTCCCCTCCCCCACTCACCCCACCCCTCCACACCCCCTCCTCCCCTCTCCCCCTCCCCACTACACCCCCTCTCCCCTCCCCCACCCCACCACCTACACCCACCACTCTCCCCCTCCCCCTCCACCCCTCCTCTCCCCTCCCCACCCCTCCTGTCCCCTCACCCCTACCCCATCTCCCTCTCCCCTCCCACCCACTACACCCTCTGCCTCCTCCCCTCACTACACACCTCCTCTCCCTCTCTCCCCTCTCCCCACCCACACACCTCCTCCCCCTTCCCACCACTACCCCCCTTCTCCCCTCCACCCTACACCCCTCTCTCCCCTCTTCCCCCACACCCCACCTCCTCCCCCTCCCACCCCTACACCCCGCCTCCCCTCTCCCCTCCCACCCTACCCCCACCTCCTCTCCCCACCCCTCCCTACCTCCCCCACCTCCCTCTCCCCTCTCCACCCCACCTCCTCTTTCCCCCCTCCCACCCCTACACCTCTCTCCCCCTCCCACCTACACCCCTCCTCTCCCCTCCACCCACTACACCCCACCCCTCTCCCCTCCACCTACCTCCCTCACCCCTACACCACCTCTCCCCACCCCACTACCACCTTCTCTCCCCCACCACTTAACCAGGCCCACAATTGTGGTTTCAGGCAACACGATCTTAACTAACTGGATGTTGCCTTTTCCACCGACACGATAAAGCGGTTAGGTTAGGTTAGGCTACACATCTATTAAAAAAAACTACCATAACTGTGTTGACGTTTAGAGTAATATTTAGCAAGAGGTTTGGTGTGTCGTTAAGTGATGGTAAGGTGGGGAGGATACCTGGACTGATTCACTGACAGGTGACTCATTAAGACATGCGCCAAGCCCACCCACCTGCTGCACATCCATACCTCACTTCCACAAAACCTATTCCTATAAATACATAGCTAACATAAACGGGATCACATTTTTGTTTTTACGGGGATTAGCCCACCCGGGCACAGGTCACTGACCCACATCAGAGCCTGGGAGGCGAAAATGTAATAATTATTCATAGTAAATAAAATTTATTATAAAAATTAAAATAAAATAATAATGATAACAATAATAATAATAACACCGTAATAATAATAATAATAAAGAACTATAAAGAAAAACAAAATAAAAATAGTGAGAAACACTATAATTACATATGTTGCGTTGTCAAGTAAGAGAAACACTTGAAACCCTGCAATTGTTTGTAAATGAGGTAGAAAGACAGATGAGCAACCTGGGATTTGGTCACAATTTTCGTGATGCCATATGGCAGCAGGGTCTACCATTAGACAACACATTATGCTTCCAATATCTTCCCAGGCGGCAGTACCTCCCTGTTTGGTAGCTGCCTCGTACCTACTACATGAAGATTAAATCCCAAAATTATTTAACCTGATGATTAAACTTAACGATAGCCTAACCTAACCTAGCGTTAATGTCTAATCAATTGAAATAAGCTAGGGTGTCCAATCTTCAGGTGAAATAAGCTAGGGTGTTCAATCTTCAGGTGAAATAAGCTAGGGTGTCCAATCTTCAGGTGAAATAAGCTAGGGTGTCCAATCTTCAGGTGAAATAAGCTAGGGTGTCTAATCTTCATGTGAAATAGGGTGTCTAATCTTTAGGTGGAATAAGTTAAGTTACAGTGTGTGGTGTAGGTCGGGGTAACAAACTCCGTCAGTGAGTCAGTTAGTGGTGAGTAAAGTAACTTAAAAAG